TTTGTCTTTAAAATTAAACATATTTATTTAATTAACTAAAATTACTTCCCTCTGCTTTTTAGTTCCGTGCAAAAACTGGTGATGGTGCCCATATTGCACAACTGTGTGATCTTTTATTTATTTAGTATGAATTGGTACAATTGAAACAATGAAAATTGTTATAGTACATGCCAAATACCGGTCACCGTGCCTGAAATTACCTGGCGCATTTAGCAAGAAAGGGGTCTTGGCTGTGGACTTGTCAAAGGTCTTAGTCTTTTTGATTTTCATTCAGTTTTTCCGTCTATCGACTTCCATCTTATTTTTGCCAATATTCATCGGAAAATTTCATTTTTTGTAGGATTTATGCCATAGGGTTAGATCTCAATTGATTGTACAATGATAAATTCTCGCTTGCCAAATGATAATTACTTTTTTGAACTATTGCCCCGAGGGAAGTTTCATGCTTTCAGAGAGGAAACTACTGTGTGAATCTTCTGAAAATTTTCATCTAGAGAATCATAAAATCATGAAGAATATTCAGTAGGAGTTTCAGCGAATTACATACATTTGCTTGTTCATAATTGATGAAAAATTGGTGAAGATTCTGAAACACTGCAACTGAAGAGTGTCCTTGCTGTGCTTTGATTTTCTCAAAAATTGGAATTACTCAATAAATCCTAATAATGAATTTGAATTTCAGTCCATCATTCTCTTCATACTTTACTTTGATTACACAACACAACAAATTTCCGGTTCTGGTTTGTCCTTCGAACCAAACCAAGTTTTTTCGTTTCCTATGTGCTACAGTAGTCTGAAAATGCCCATAGAAACTTCAGGAAAATTGTCTGGTGCTCAGGACGCCGCCATTTTGAATTTTTCAAATTTGAGAAAACCCACGATTAGATTTTTGCAAATATCTCCTCAACGGCTCATCCCACGAAAAAAACAAAAAACCAGCAGAAAGCACATGAAACTTCCTACCAAAATCACTCTCCCCTGTTTCATCGGGCTTACATTTTTTGTCATAAAATTAACGTTTTCTTCAAAAATTAGCTTAAAGAAGGCGCTTTTTTGCTGATTTTAGGAGAAACTTTGCTTTAAATCTCCAGCCACGATTATCTGAGAAAAAAACTGTTACGCTCATTGAAAAGAGCGTAAAATTTACTGCTGGAAAACATATCGATAGTTCCTAATCTTGATTATATTCTGTGAAACAGCAGTTTATTAGCTCGGCCCTTAAATTGTGACCATCACCTTTCAAAACAAGAAAAAAAGAAGGAAAAAACCTAAAACCAAGGCTCAAACTGTGTAACAATGTGGTAAAATCGTTAGAGCTCTTAAGTTTTGATTCTGATTGAAATTTTTTGAATTTTAGGGCTTTTGATCTCACTGACTAGTGTGATCTACTGATGAGGTGTAAAAAAACCCAAAATTATTGACTTCTTGACGTTACCTCGCCTTAATATTCGAATCCAAACTGCCTGGGCTGAACACTCCCCCATCAGTTTAGTACTGATCCTCATTAGAGCCCAAAATTGTTGACATTTTGGCACCACCCCCCCCCCCCCCCNCCCCCCCCCCCCTCTCCATCCATATAGTGTGGGCCCAGCACTATTTTACCACATTGTTACACAGTTTGAGCCTTGGTTTTAGATTTTTTCCTTCTTTTTTTCTTGTTTTGAAAGGAGATGGTCACAATTTAAGGGCCGAGCTAATAAACTGCTGTTTCACAGAATATAATCAAGATTAGAAACTATTGATATGTTTTCCAGCAGTAAATTTTACGCTTTTTTCAATGAGCTTTGCAGTTTTTTTCTCAGATAATCGTGGCTGGAGATTTAAAGCAAAGTTTCTCTTAAAATCAGCAAAAAAGCGCCTTCTTTAAGCTAATTTTTTAAAAAAACATTAATTTCATGACCAGAAAAGTAAGCCAGATAAAACAGGGGAGAGTGATTTCGGTAGGAAATTTTATGTTCTTTCTGCTGGTTTTTTTGTTTTTTCGTGGGATGAGCCGTTGAGGAGATATTTGCAAAAATCTAATCGTGGGTTTTCTCAAATTTAAAAACTTTAAAATGGCGGCGTTCTAAGCACCAGACAATTTCCCTTGAAGTTTATATGGGCATTTTCGGACTACTGTAGCACCTAGGAAACAAAAAAAGTTGGTTTGGTTGGAAGGACAGAACCCATGTTGAATGATTTTATTCCTCAATTTATTTACTTCTATTAAACTGTACATGACATCTAGGAAAGTCTTACTTTTTACCTACTAAATCATGTTTTACGCTCAGTCCGCATTTCAGCAGCTGCTGTGGTTCCAATCATCAGTTGATTGTCAACGTTGATGGTGGCCAGGAGGGTAGTTACTCCAGCGCATACTAATCATGAAAAATGTAGGTGAAAAAGTTTTCTAAGTTTGGTGCACATTTTGATCACCTAACTTTTACTGTCAATGAATAAATCAATTTAGTGAGATCATTAATGTCTAACTCCAATTATTTCTTTCACAGCGAAAAGCTATTGAAAGATTTTGTGCAGAGGTAAAAAGGCTGTGCCATGCTGAAAAGAGGAAGGATTGCGTCGGAAGCCTACTTGCTCATCCTAGGAAAATTTATCAATATGTTTGCGGTGCTAGATAAGCTGAAAAACGTGAAATCAAGTGTGAAAAATGATTATTCTACCCATCGCCGGTAAGTTTATGGCTGTAAAGTAATAAAAAAATTTCTCCATTTTGAAGTTTTCTCCTGTGTACCTAAATGAAGATAATTTTTAAAAAATGTGTGTACAGAAGTAATATCGCAAAAGTCTCTACGAGAGCTGTCCAAAAATAAATATTGCAATCTTTTACGTTTTAATTAGAGTTTATTAAGTAGGACTGGTGAAAGAAAAGAAGAGACAAGAGTCACATCAGTCTAAATGCATCAATCATCAGTTGGCCCATTGGTTAGTATGTAAATATCTGTTGAATGGTGCAATTTTTGGATGTGACATTAGTTTCTTCTTTTCTTTCCATATTTCTATGTCTTTCAGCCATCTGACATATCTTCAATTGTCAAGGAATTTTACCCTAATGAGTCAGGAAAATTCCTTTTCTAAACTCTGTGGCAACCCTGTGTCGCATTGTGGAGGGTTAAGTCCTTTGTTCTTGACATCAACCAGTTTTCTCCCTTCCCTCTGATTCATATCAAACCTCTGTTGTAGCTCAAAAGTATTATGACAAGTCTCTACACCATTGCTTCTTTTTTCAGTGTCACCCAGTTCTTGAAAGTTATGGCAGATTCACTCACCCTGCTGGAGTCACAGAATTTATTCATGTTTCTCTCTACACAGAACAAAATTCGGGACACAGTGAAAGATAATTTGGAAAAAATAATCGGTTACGAAGAGCTTCTGTCCTATATTGTCAATCTGTGAGTGCACTTGTTCGAAACAAAAATTACACCTACCGACAAGCGCATGCCGGTTAAAGTGAGTATCATGTCATCCCATCTTCACGATTCGTTCGACCTTCGAAAGTGATTGGTTTTGACATTTTTTTCAAGTCCTTGAAAGTGCTTGAATTCTTCTCTACTGATAAGAGTCAGCAGTTAATCTTGAGAAATAAAGAAACATGTTTTGATGTTTCGTTGATTGTAAGAAAACATCTTGTTCACAAAAAAATGGCCATCTCTCTGAAATGAGAATCCAAAATTGCGGACTCAAGCTCTTATCATAGGGAAATTACTGTGTTTTGGAAAAAATTTGGGAAAAAAGTGAACTGTTGTTCCAGTCATGAGCCAGTTAAGACTCAGAAGATCTCAAATTGAGATTTTAACACTACTCTCATAAGAGTGTTTTCTTAAAAATACTCGCTGCCATTAATACTCTTAGATTTAAACTAAACTTTAAATTCAAGAAATATAATTGAAGTTCAGGCGATTCGTGAACCTTTAATAAGATTTTGTATTTTGGCCGTGTGCCTCATTGTCAGTCCTTCTTCTGCGCTGTTCTTGACTTCATAGCAAGACAGTTCTAAGTTAATCAGTACTTTTTTCTCAGGTTTCACAATGATTTGAAATCTGCCAGATGTAAGTATTACCACTTATCTCTACGGTCACTAAATATTTTTTCATGCCCTTTTAAGACTATCGTAGGTGAAGAATCTTATGGTGCAAACCAGGTATGGAAAGCAATGTAACACCAGGGGATTGTAACATTAACTGTCCGAAGGGTAACAGTTGATCTAAGTATATGACCAGGGGCTTGATTCTGTGTTGCTCTCAGGCAATGTCATAGGCATGAGGTACGCACCCATTGCGCCGTTACACATCTTCTCTTTCCATGTGATGGTGAGAGATCGTCAGACTAGAATGTAATTAAAATGCTGCCTCCAATTTTGTTGATTAGAGGTGAGATTGTGTGGCGAAATATTGAGAATTTGTTTTTCACGACCCTCTGCGTGACACCCTCATAATGTTTTGGAATGCGACATGTGAGGCAAAACTTTTGTTGCCTATTTGCTATTAATTTTCTTCACGTCTAAAAATTTTCATCTTGAAGTGTTTTTAGTTTATACCCGAATTGGTAGGCAGTGGCTAATAGCAAGAGCAATAACTACTAGCTAATACTACAAGTAGGGAATAACAAAGAAAAACTCTTAAGATGAGTGAAGAAACTTAAAAATTTATTATCTTAATTTTTAAGCCTTCCTCACCCATCATTCGAATTTTTCATTGACTCCCTTTACCCCATTTCCAGCTATCGAGTCCACCATATGAGTAACTAAATTTCAATGTTAGTGCCTTTTTGATACCTGTCTCTAAAATCTCTCACTCCTCCTGAGTGCTTGGAAATTGAGGAACTGACAAAAAGTGTTCTTCAATTCGTCTCTCCATGATGCATTATCTAAATGAAGGAGAAGTGATGGTTTTAAATCTAAAGGGGTATCCTCTGGAACTTCAATAACCAGTGAAAAACTGCAGCATCAAATAGTTGGCGTTGCTTAGATGACAGTAGAAGCTTCAGGATAATTAATGAGCCTCCTCCTCGGTGAATAAGGATCATTTTTTGTCTGTCTCCAGTACCATTTGCAATAAATGTCTGCTTTGATTTCTAAAGGAACCTTGATTCACTCCCTTTCTTCTCTTCTTAGATGAGAGAATACGTGGCACAATGTTCAGACACCTTTATGACGCAGTTCCATGTGGGGGTTACAAGTACTGTCTCATATTTTGTAGTTTTACTAATGGTTTTAATGTTTGTTTTTAGGTTGTACTGGTTTGGATCTACGCCCTGGAGCGCCATCCAAAATCATTCTCAGGATGGCCAAAGTCATTGCTTTTGTTTTGTCAGAGGACTGGCTGAAAGCATCTGGCAACACACACCGAAAACTGGAAGCACCCCTACGCCTGTTACCATGCATCTGCTTACTGTGTTGCGATGATGGCAAATCTCCTCTCGTATTGCTTTCTGTGAAGGTAACAAATCACCATCATCCCTTGATGTCTCCGCAGACATTTCTTTTCAAAGAGAAGAAAAATGACTGTAGTTTTTAAGAATTCCCCTCGAATGGTCTTCGTTTTAAGAAGGAAAGAATGGCAGAAAATCTGCAACGTCGCAAACTGAGATACGTGGTTGCGGACTTTTGCTGTCGAATTTGGTAATAANCGACCGAGGACGCAGGCACAGTGGAGCGGCAACATCAGGGGATGCCTATCCCGCCAAAAGGCGGGAGGAGGAAACCCGAGAAAGTCACCGAGGTGGCAGTCTACGGGGTCGAAGGGTAGCCGACTATCTCTAGCAATTTGCCGGCTAACTCGGGTACGGGGGAGCGTCAAACCCCAGATCCACAGACAGATCCCCTGCGTTAGGACTTTTGCTGTCGAATTTGGTAATAATTTCAGTATCACTGTTCCATTTTCCCACTTTGCACGCCGTAGAAAAATCGTGTTAACTCGTCTTATATTGGTCTTCTTCCTTCTCGATTCAGTTTTTCAATCGAAAATTGATTAATCGACTCAAAAGAAATCGAATCGTTTTTTTCACTCGATTCCCTGAAATAAATCGATTCTCGCTAAATCTACTCTCGAAAAATCGATTCAAAATCGTGAATACTGTCCCCTAGAGCTGTGGCAGCGGGACACCAGTCACAGTCTACCTTTCGTTCGTGCGTGAGTTATTCGCTTGGTTTCTGTCTGTTTCACTAACTTAATAAATCGGAAGCTACATTTCGTTCGTGCGTTAGTTTATTCGCTTGGTTTCTGTCTGTTTTGCTAACGTAATAAATTGGAAGATACAAAGATCCAGTTGGACACGAATATTAAGTGTGAGTACTGTATTATATATTTTTCAGATGGTTTTTCATATTTTCTTGAGGCGGAATTTCTCTAAGTTGTAGCTGAATAATGTCAACAAGTGAGAATATGAAAATGGTAGCATTTTGTGCAACTAAGACTTCTCACACACACACGGCTACTGATGTGTCAGTTCTTATGACCCTTCAAAAGTTTTTTCCTTCATCATTTTTTTATTTTTTGGTCAATTTTCTGGAATGTTATTTCGAATGATGAAGTAGAAGTTCAGCGGTAAACGCCATTCACTACAATATCAAACTGCCGATCCAACAGTGGCTCAAACAAAAACATTAAGAAATCCAAAACATGTACTGTGCATGAAGTGTGAAGTTAACTTTTAACGTAGCACTATATATTAAAGTGTTGTTTACTCCCTTTACTATAATTGAATTGATGTTTGATTTTATCACCTGGGAACAAAGTCTTCTCATCTGAGGGGAAAAAGTCCTCCAGGCGAGGACATGTGGGGAGGTTCGTGTGATGGAAATGTGAAAATAATCAGAGCTAGATTATTTCTGAAAATGGAACAACTCACATAAAGCACACAACACAACAGGTGAATAACCCAAAGAACACCATAATTTCTCTGAAGGATGGAAAGCAACCATTGAAGGATGTACAGTCTGATATGATATTACTTCCAAATCAGTCAATCACAGAAGGAACAATTTTGATTGACGTATTAGGGTTCTAAGTGCGGTCACGAAAAAGTTTTTACTTTCTGGCGCCACCATCTCCATCCCTTTCCAACTGACCGAAGTCTCTAAATTTGTAATTCTAAATTTGAGATATATTGGGATTTCAAATTAATTGATACTCATTAGGAAATGATTTTTGAAATATGAAATTTTCCAACTTTTTTCTTGGAGGAGGAAGGAGGTTGGATTTAATGAATATCATCAATCAAGGTGAATCCAGGATTCGATTAGGGATAATTCAAGATTAGAGATAGCGCCACCAGTCCCCACTGAGAATTTCACTTTCCTTCGACGATAACTGAAATAATATTTCTCGAATTACAAAAAGCAGATCCACAAGATATAGATTAATTTTTGCTTGATTTTTTGAGCCAAACATATTGGCACTTAAAATTACAAGCGCAGAGAAAGTACGGCTGAAACTTTCAGGTCACAGGCGGCGGCTGAGCGCAGAACGGAATCCCTCATCAGGGTGTCTAGCGACCGGGAAAGTCAGGGAAGAAAAACGCAAAACCGGGGGAGAAGCGAACTTCCGTCAAAGATCGCGATTTTTTGCATAACTTTATGGCGCTTCGATACGCTGTGCAACAAAAAAAAATGACAAAAATGTCTCCCGGACGAGATAAGGTGATAACCATGTATTTTGAGGTGCTGAATCCGAATATGACCTCCGTTTTTTCCCATCACCCTCCAGTTTTCCGAAAAAGACAATTTTACCCGGAAAAATGGCCATTTTGGGGCATTTTTGGGTGTTTTTGCGACTATTACCCCCTGCAGAATGTAGGTAAAATTTTTCTCTGGTACGATAAACGGCTATTACGATGTATTTTGAGCCGCTGAGTCCGAAAAAGACCTTCATTTTTCCCTGTCACCCCTCAGTTTTCCGGGAAAGCGACTTTTCCCCGGAAAATGAGCTAATTTGAAGTATATTTTTCATGCATGCCATTTATTTGTATAAATTTTCCTGGACCCGTGGTACAGTCATTCTTATGTGTTTTAAGCCGCTGGATCCGAATATGACCTCAGTTTTTTCCATCACCCCCGAATTTTTCGGTAATGTCGATCCTTCAGAGCCTAAATTTGTGTATAAGCTTTCCCGGACTCAAAGGGGATCAAAAATGTATTTTAAACATGTCTGCGACGTGTGATACATCGATTCCTATGTATTTTGACTCGCTAAACGTGAATATGATCTTGGATTTTTCCGATCACCCACGATTTTCCCGGAAAATCGATTTTCCTTGGAAAACTAACTTTCTACCTAGGTGTTTTTGGACGATTTTCCTGTTGCGAGGAGTCTAAGAAATTTTCTGAGATCCTCTCTAGATCCCTTCTGCTGTACCTATTAAGAGCAGCTGAATCCAAATTTGATCTCTATTCATCTCTGACAACCCCTCGTTTTCTGGAAAGTCCGATTTTTCCGGGAAAAAAGCTTTTCCGAACCGTCCCCACCTCCAGGGAAATTTGAAAAATTTTCTGCATGTGTGATACATCGATTCTTATGTAATTTGAGCTGGAAAACCCGAATTTGACCTCAGAAATTTGTTATCACCCACCATTATTACGGAAAACTCGATTTTTTGGAAAAAATGGTTATTTTTGACCATTTACGGTGTTTTTGCGACTGTTACACCTTGTGGAATGTGCGTAAGATTTTTCTTGGCTACAAATTAGATTATGCATTAGGTATTGTGAGTCCCTGATTCCGGAAATGGCTTCTATTTTTTTCTATGAGCCCTCAGTTTTGTAAAAAAGACACTTTTTGCAGGGAGATTGAGTTAAATTGACTTCTTTTAGCCGGGCATGCAAGTCTTATTTAAATAATTATCCTGGATCCGTGAAGGGGAGATTCCTATGTAGTTTTAAATGCTGAATCAGAATATGACCTCCAATTTTTCCTATCACCCTCCATTGTGTCGGAAAAGTAGATTTTTCTTGGAGAACGTGTTTTTTGGTATATTTACAAAATTTTCCCAGAAAATCGAGTTTTCCGTAAAAATGGTGGGTGATAACGAATTTCTGAGGTCAAATTCGGGTTTTCCAGCTCAAATTACATAACAATCGATGTATCACACATGCGGAAAATTTTTCAAATTTCCCTGGAGGTGGGGACGGTTCGGAAAAGCTTTTTTCCCGGAAAAATCTGACTTTCCAACTAAAGGGGGGTTGTCAGAGATGAATAGAGGTCAAATTTGGATTCACCTGCTGTTAATATAGCAGGAGAGATCCAGAGAGGATCTCAGAAAATTTCTTAGACTCCTCACAACAGGAAAATCGTCCAAAAAACACCTAGAAAGTTAGTTTTCTAAGGAAAATCGTGGGTGATCGGAAAAATCCAAGATCATATTCGGGTTTAGCGAGTCAAAAACATAGGAAGCAATGTATCACACGTTGCAGACATGTTTAAAATACATTTTTTATCCCCTTTGAGTCCGGGAAAGCTTATACTTAAATTTAGGCTCTGAAAGATCGACATTACCGAAAAATTTGGGGGTGATGGAAAAAAACTGAGGTCATATTCGGATCCAGCAGCTTAAAACACACAAGAATGACTGTACCGCGGGTCCAGGAAAATTTATACAAATAAATGGCATGCATGAAAAATATACTTCAAATTTGCTCATTTTCCGGGGAAAAGTCGCTTTCCCGGAAAACTGAGAGGTGACAGGGAAAAATGAAGGTCACTTTCGGACTCAGCGGCTCAAAATACATCGGAAGAGTTGGTGATCATACGTGGTAGATTTGGTAGATAACACGGTGATGAATGAGGAAGTAACTGAAAGAAACTCATATTTCCAATCACATGGTGTATTTTGCAGTTTTTTTTTTGGCACAAAGGGATGCGCTTCAGTGGAAAGGCAGTAACTAATAGAAAAGCATGAAGGGGGAAATGACGTTGACACAACTTGAGACGGAATGCATAGTCACTCCTTCAAAATATTCTCTCTCAAGGAAGTACCCAATTTGTGGTTGACTTTGGGATCGCGATATTTCTGAGGATTTCTTAGAAAAGGAAGGTTGTAAAAAATGCTTGAACTGTACATCCTTCAATTCTGATGAAGAAGAGGATAATTCTGGTTTGTCATCATTAACAATCATCTGATAGTAATTAGTGTCCTAAGCAAGTAAATAATTAGTTGAAAGGTTATGTTATTTAAAGTAGATAATTTTCCAGTTGCCTCCAACTTCGTAAAGAACATGAAAGTGTATTAGTCGTTCACTGTAGGAAAAATAGGCAGTATTGGGAAGTTATTTCTGGTCCTCCAAAGTGCTTTT